TGTGCTGCATCTGTCTGATGGGTATCCTTCTCAACTCATGTATAACTTTTTTTGTGTGTGCCAGGAACCAGTAATCGGTAGTAAGCAAATGCGTAAAGTTACTAAGTATAAATATTTTGTAAAAATAAGTAAGTATTAATACATACTTACTATACTTGAGTAGATTTTTTTTTTTTTTTGGTATGAATTGGCTCATTACTTTACAGATAATGATAGTGGTATGATGTAACAGCTGCACAAAAGAGGGAAACTGAAGGGCTTAAATAAAACCTGTTCAGTTGAATCACATTTTGTTTCTAGAAAAATAAAGATAGTGACATGGACTAAGGACGGGAGCTGGGAAATATTATAGAAAATAACTCAGATTGTGAGATGCAATACTCTCCATCCATTACCCCTTTTATTCATTTTAAATGTGTATGTTGGTCATGTTTTAACTTCTATTTCAAAATGCTGTAAATATCAGAGCTTCAAGTAATCAGCCGTATATGACTGGCTTCTGTTTAGTTCAATTCATATTATGTTGTCTGAAACTAATTTAGAGCAAAACTAACCTAACTAGTTCTTTTTATGCACTCTATACAAACAGTGAGCAAAACTGGGAAATTTTCTGTGCATTACACATTTTGAAGAGTAGTTTTTTTTTAATTAAGGCAAACTTTTCACTTGTAGAAACCTTTTTTTTCTTAAGTACTTTTGACATCTTAGTTGTTAGGTTTATTTTCTTTATTTTCCTTTTTGTAGATTTTTCAACATCTGTCATTTACTCTGTTTCTGTATAACTTTTAACATAAGGTCAAGAAGTTATTGACTAAGAAGAAAAGATAAACAATAAAAATAAAAGAATTTCTAACAATCAATGGCCTGTCACTACTTTAGCCATGCTTAGGATGACCTGAATTTATATTTTATTTCATTAATGTCGTAAATATTACCATCTAATGGTATAAAATGGTTATAACTGCCTTTCGATTCAGATCTTACAAAGTGTAGGTCAGATTTATGTTGGTTATTCTATGTCTTGCACTTATTCAATACATTTTTATCTGATTAATGATTTAGTAGGATGCTAATGATTATTTAACATGCTAAAACCAGCAGGGGTCTACCTATTTAGGCACAAACTTCATTCATAGAACCATTAAATTATGCCTTTAAAAAATAAATCTTAGAAATGTCCCTATAAAGGAAATTGTTGCTGACCAAGTGTTATTAAGGGATGGTTGAGGTTAATCACAAAACCAATCCCAGCCTGATTTTCTGTTTCCTTGTTTTGGCCTGATTTGGACAGGTACCAGTTACCTACAAAAGTAAGATTCTGCATTTATAACTCCTTACCTTAGCCATTTTGATAGGTTCTTTTGTGTCTGGAACAGGGCCTTTTATTAAAAAGAAAAAAAGCTTCTAAAAGTCACAACCCCAAATGCCTAACATTAACACTGACAACACAGAATGTTCAAGTGATGGATCGTGGCTTTTGTTTTTGCACTTGTGAAGAGCTATTGGTGTGATAGTGGGCAGTATTAGGCCTGCCTTCCTACGCATGTGGGTACTAAGGTGATGGCTAAAGTAGTCAGTGGTATGTCATGGCCCACTTTGGACCATTTTTACAACCTCAGCCACATTATCTTGAAGAGGGTTGGCTCTGTCTTTTCCTAGAATTAACAATCCTCAATTCAGCCCATGACAAAAGCATGGAAAAAGTCGAAGAAGTGTAAAGTAAGACACCCAAGCAGTGCTTTGTTTGCTCATCGTAATCTAGTTTGGTGGGAAATGAATTCTTTTCTTTTTATTTCAACCAAAGCCACTGATCAAAGTCTTGACACCAGACGGGCTCCGCACAAGTATGCGGCAGCCAGAGCCAGCTGGGTGACTGACAGCGAACGTCCAATCAGAGAACTTTATTGGGGGCCCAAATGGTCTTCTATTCATCTGCCTGTGCAAATCACTGTCTGGGCAAAGAGCCATGTTATCTTAGCTGCCCTTTTCTTGTGCCCTCCTGAGTCACTTACTTGGAGCATAGAGTTGCCATCTGCAGTCTAACATATGCAAGCAGATGTAATTGTAGCTGGTTTCAAAACTAGAAATGCTTAATGAGGTGTTCTAACAATTCAACAGAAAGCTGGTGAGAAAGTGCAGCAGCATGCACCATTTAAAGTATGGGTAGCCTTTTGTGGAATAGTATAATATAGTGTAGTATAAAAGGTTGATTATGCCAGTTTTAACTTATCCTAGTTTTTGTGAAGGGGTGTCCAGTTGAGCTTGTGAGATTAATGATTGGCTTTGTGTAGTCATATTTCACACACTACCGCAGAGAAATCACACAGTTAAAGGGATCAGTGGAAAAGTGATTCATCGGATTTTAGGTGCTTTGCGACAGAAAAATAATGGTTGTGATCTGATCAGCACAGGTCTAACACAAGTGAACCACATCTGCACTAAGCCCTGGTTTCCTCATCATGACAGGTTGGTTCATTAAGTAGGCTTGGCTCCAGGGCTGAATTCACACTCCCTCTTGCCCTCTCCCATGACCCTATTTGCTTGTCTCCTAACTAGTGCAGGTTAGCATAAACAGACAATCTGTACCGGCACATAAGCATATGCTGCAGTTTCAGCCTTTATGAACATCCTCAAAGCACCCTGACCTCACACTGTAACAACCTTCATGCATGATCACAACGCGCCTCAGCCCTCACCCTGATTACCTCTCGTATACACATAAACCCTGCTATGCTGCTCCACCCAAAACTTTGGTGTCGGCCCTAATCAGTAAAACAGTCTGCAAAAAAAAAAAAAACTGAGCCAGGAAAACATTTCCCTCTCCTTCAGCTCTCTCCACCAGAACCAGCGTCCCTCGTCTGCCGAGGCCAGTTGTGCTCCACTGACTCTCTTGGGTAAATGGAGATAATGGGAGTCATATGCTAGCAGTTGGTTCAACGGGCAAACTAACATGAAACATTTATATTCTTTATGTTGTCATGAGGCCTGCGGAAAAACAAACAAACAAAAAAAAAAAAAACAGACAAAGATGGCATTGTGTAGTAAAGGACATTTCAACGGTGGTCCAAAATTGTTTTATCCAGTTCCCGTGTAAACAATTCCCTCATATGTTTTGTTTTAGGGTGTTCTTTGCTAGACTTGCTGTCCCTCAAAGCTAATTCAGCACTGCGTGCACAGCCTCACACCCGAGAATGTGGAGTGCAGTAACCCTTACTTAATGCTAAACCACATGTTACACAGTCAGGGTAACATTGCAAGCCTGGAAGAGCCATTAGCTTCATGTGTTGTTCCACATTAGAAAGCTGTCATTACCCAACATTTGACCTGAGCTATGATGGTATTCTCTATTTGGATGCTGTCAGTACGCTTAGTGGCTGGTTGATGAAGGAGTTGGCCTTAAGCCTCAAGTTACTGGAGCTATTTCTCCTGAGAAAAGCATGAATGAGCTTTCTCCCATTTAAGCAAATTAGAGCCACAAATGCTCCATCTACCCTCCATGGGTTTTAAGAGGCTTGTTTGCCGCAGTCGTGCTTTGCCAAATGCGGGTGCAGGAGACCGCCGCTTCATATATGTTCCTCCACTGCTTGGGTCTGCTAACCACATCTGTAGTCGTTTGACGAGAGTCCTGTTTTTTTCTGGCATTAGTTAAACTCCGCCTTGTGTTTCAGCATGTTGGGATTCCCACGTATAAACCGTTCCTTTTATTTACAACGATGAGGAAGCAGTTCAGCACACTACAGGGTGTTTTGTTTACCAGGACAGTAGCACTACTATAAGCGTGAAGTTCTTTTGGTAACTGGGTGGTTAAACATTTCTAAGTGTTAGGGTGTTAAACCGAATGTATTATCATATATTTTTACATTGTGGATTAACAGATACTACACCTGCAAGTGTAGACTTTATCTATTTGGCCTCTACATATTTAAAAAAAAATAATTTTCTACTTCTTTATGAGCAGTATTATGAGGTGGAATTAAAATGGTTGCATGACTGAAACAGAATGACATCTAAAATTTAGCTGCATACATTTTCCCATCAACTCTGATCAGTTTAGGGTTCCTGTCTAAGAAAAACAACCTCAACTACCACCATGCTCTGCAGAAATAGTTTGTACCGATGAGTTTATAAAGTTGGTTTCCTACCAAATGCTTGTGTGTTACATGCTGGCCAAAAATAAAACTTTAGTTTTAGAAATAACTTTTCCTGTTTCTAACACATGGCTCAGGGAGAACTTAAAAGAGAGGCATCCTATGGCTTTCTTTTAACAGTTGTTTTTGCATGGGTGGAATAGACTTAAACACTTGCATTTCTTTTAGTGGAGCTGAGGATCTCTACAGCTCCTCCAGAGTTACCATGGACCTCTTTCTTTGTCTCATGGGGAGATTTGCTGTACTCTTTTGCATTTTCAAATAGAATGTTCTCCTGCATATGGGTTCTCATTATATTTTTTCTTTATGTTCTCTAAAAACCTCTAAGGCCTGCAGAAAGACGGCTGGATTAATACTGAGCAGGTTGATGCTACCTACTTCCAGAATGTTATCTCCCTTGATAATTATTCTCTGCATTGTTTTGCTGTATCACATAAAACTTCCATAAAATATGATAAAGTTCTGGCTTGTGTAATAGAAATGTTCAAAGGGTTAGAACATTTATAAGGTTATGAGTTGCTGTATTCAGCAAAAACTGTTTCATACATTTTCTGCATGGCCCTACTGGATTTGTGGGAGGAGGTGGGTTATATAGGTAACATGGAAAATTGTTTTGATTTCATTCGAATTCATTCAAAGCCTCGACCTTGTACAGTCTGCTAGACAAAGTTTCCCTCACAAGCCTCTATTTGTCGAATAACGCTGAAGGCGATACAACTGTTTAAGCATACCTCTTTGCAGGAAGGGAATAAAGAGTTAAAAATGTGCATCCTGTTTGGTATTGATTTTCTTTCATTTAAATCTCATGCCTCTTTATTTATTTATTTATTTATTTATTTATTTATTACACAGGGATCAGCTGAAGCAATAACAGAGACCCTCCTACCTCGACTGGCTTCATCAGCACTGCTCTCTTCAGATGGGAGGTCACAATCTGCTGGTCCGCTTCACCCAAATGCACAATCTGCATTCCGCCCTCATATAAAGATGGCCGCCCGTGGCCTTTTCTTGCACCTGAACACCCCGGAGCAGAGCTGTGCGCTACCATGGTGATCATTTTCTCAAAAACACTGGAAAAGAAGAAGGGTGCGAATGATGTAACGTCCAAGAGCTCCAACAGACAGCTGGTGAGAGAAACTTCACATCCCGGTTCACAGAAAACAAACTTTTACATTTGGTATAAGAAGTAATCACAGAGGTAGTCTCATATACTCTACCTACTGTCACCATCTTGAGTATTCAAGGCCTGAAGCTAGTAGTCCACTTATAATAAAGAAGTAAAATAAAGTGCTATTTTAGTTGAAAGTCTTCATTGATTTTGCTTCATGAAAAGCAAATGTTAAGTTAGAACCCTAATTATGTAACTGTGTCACTAAATCAAGACTACACCTAGTTTGAAAGTAGACCGGCCAGATTGCTAAAACAGGACCTTGTGTTTGTTTGAACTTCAACCGTTTGGATTATTTGTGTGTAGGTAGGTGGGTGGATGTGTGTGTCAGCGTCTTACGTATTTTAATTACCCTGATCATTTCTCAAGAAAAGTCAAACAGGCTTTAAATACTTAACATTCAAAAAGGGAAGTTTGCTTCACAAAACCTCAACCATTCAAATGTGTATTTAAGATTACATATTTTATAAAATGAACTCAAGACGCCATGGTTGTGACATCCATACCTGAGAGCATAATAAAAGGTCGTCAGTGGGTTGTTCTGCTGGAGATCACCGCCGCAGCCCAAATCTGCAAATAAAATAAAAAAAGCTGGAAATCTGAGCTGTTTAGCTCATAATACAAAATATTCCACTTCCATCAGTCACCAAAATCTGATGTGTCTGAGTTCTGCCATTTATTTTTTAGCTGTTTATTGCACCTCAACCAATTTTTAACGTCTTTGTAATGTTCTGTCAGTAATCGCCACCAGTAGAAACTGCAGAATCTTAGGCTACGTTCACACTGCAGCCTGAAGTGACTCAAATCTGATTTTTTTTTGGCCCATATGCGACCTGGATCTGATCTTTTCGTGGCTGTCTGAACAAAACAGATCCGATGTTTTCCAATGCGACCCAGGCCGCTTGGCTATGTGGTCCTGAATCCAATACGAATCTGACCTTTTCAAATGCGACCTGTGTCTGAACAGCAAGGTTGCATTAATCCGACCTGAACGCAATTAATACCCAACAAAGGTCTCTATTCTGGGTCCTGCTATGAAGAGGCGGCAAGAAAAATAACAACCATGGTGGAAGATGATGCGGAGAGCAGTATTTATGTTTAACCATCTTGAAAAGATTGAGTTTTTAAGGTTGGAAAAGATCGCTAGATGCGCTCCGGCACTACCATCCATGTTTACTTCCGTAAACACAGAGCATGCTGACCTGTGATGTCATTGCGTCCTCTACTCCGCATGCGGGACACTTGCGTTGTATGACTGTAGTTCACACAGGAGATCACATACAAGTCACATATATTTGGAAATGTGAACGGCGAAGCAAAAAAATCGGATTTAGCAAAAAAAACCCTGAATATTAGCATCAAGGCCTGCAGTGTGAACGTAGCCTTAGTCAGCAATTTGGATTTTGGGCTTCTCCACTCTACCTGTACTTTAGTTTTGAAATGGTTAATTACACTTTCTCCATGTTGATTGTAAAAGCTATTCCAGTTCACTTTGGATTTATTGAAGTAATTTAGATTTTAAATTAAGGGTGGTCAAAAACAATCTACATTTTTTAAAATTGTGAAAACCTGCCTTGAGATAGAATATGTATATATATGCCAAACAGCTTTAACCTTTGCACTTAGTGGTTAATGGTTACAAATTATTTATACTTGCACTTACCAGCTGTCTTTATTAGTCATCTCTGTCAACACTATAGTAAAACAACACAAGAGCTACTTCTTGTCTTGCTATAAAATAACAGTCTCGGGTGTAGATGCAGATATCAGGCCTAAAGTGCTGCTTTCATGGCCGTATTAAACAAGTGATCAGAAAAAGGCTTCAAACTCATTACTGCTGAGATATTAACATTTTTATTTGTCACAGTTCAGCTTTGCTTTTTCAGGATTTTTATAATGAATCACCCATGTACAAGTATATCTTTTTGTTATTTTATTTCTTTTTTTATTTATTGAACACACCGCTGTACTCCGGTGGTTACATTACATAGGACTTGCCATGGTATTTAAAAAAATATATATTATTAAAGGAGAGCATGGGAATCGCAATATTAAGCACCTGTTATTCCACAAAAATAACATTTTAAAAAGGCATGCTGATATCAAACATTTGCTTAACTTAGCTTGAAAATCTGTCCAAGACTTTATGTGGATTAGGATATTGTATAATGTGTAAATTTAATGCCACGGGTAGACGTTCCACGTTTCTGGAGTTTCTGGTCAGCAGACTCTGAAGGTTAGTCCGTTTTGGGCTTTGTTCAGAATGTGTAATCCACCTTCAAATGAGAACTCACCCACATAGCCACTTTCAACCAGACTAACGGTGAGCCATGTGTGGTCCTCAGACTGAGCCACTGAATTTAATTAATACTGTACATAGGGTGAGTCAGGTTGTTGTAGCACCAAACTACTTTGGCCACCTGGGTAGTTTTAATTTGCTGCTGGTTTCAGTTGTCTTGATGATATGTATTCATTTTTTGGTTCTGCTTTCTTTCCCTCAATCTTCAGAGACATGACTGTTTCAGAGGTTAAAATCATTGGTCCGAGAAGGAACTACTTCCTTGTCTCAGTTCTCCTTGGCTCTGAGTGGTTTATGTTTTTAAAAATTAAAAATGTTTACCCACTTTTAAAAATAAACTGTGGTAAGGATGGGAAAGGCTTGTGTACTAAAACGATAATAATTTAGCAAAACATAAACCAACATCAGGTATATTAATGTTTACATAAGAAGTTTACACAGGGTATGTTTATATTGCTACTAAATGCGTTAAATTTATATTAATATTTATATTTATTTCAGGAGCAATATTTGTGGAATTTTCTTTCCTACTTTTTAGTTTTAGTGTCTTACTGACTGTTTATTTATTCTCTGCAGAGTGATCTCCGCACCATGAGCAGAGGGACCACCCTCTTCTCCTGTGGAACAGTCGGTCAGTTGTTCTTGCTTTTTCTGCCTTTATATTTAAAATTTCTAATTTTTGCATTCCCAGCACAGTAGTTTAATATTTCCATTTTAAAAAACTATGGAGCAGATACCAGCGATGATCCTTTACTTCCTGTTTAATTATTTCTAAGGCAAATATGAGTCAATCTGCTGAAATGAGGAGATAATGAGCACTAACAGCCTAATGATAGATGAGGAACATTTGGAAAACTCCCAGTAAAAAAACAAAACGGATGTGATCTATTTTTACTTGGAGTTCAAACTCGGAAACTTCAAAGTTGAGAGATTATATTATACTCAGATTATCAGAGTTATAAATAAACTATTTTAATCATGAATCTCAGCAGGTTTTCTCTAGGAGGCAGCTGTGTAGAGTTTCAAATTCATGATTGGTGACAAAGCTGTTTTTCCACTTGGACTTCTGACGTCCCACTGGCTTTTCTCTTTGAGTTTTCCAAAACAAAACTAAGAATTTCAACTAAGAATTAAATGCATAATTGAAAAGCATATTTCTACTAATGAATGAGTGCCAATACATCGCTTTAGAAGCATCGGTCTAATTTACTGCCTCCTTGATAAGTCCGACTATGAAGTTCAGTGATCCTGATTAACTGTCTTGTTGTTTAGCTTGGTCTCTCACTTCTCACTTTCTCCATCTGTTACTCATCCCCTTCTCATGATAAGGCTGCACCTGCCTCCATACAACGTTGCACAGGGTTCTCATGGGAGGGAGCTGTAATTGAATACGCCGTTGCCTATGTCAACAATTTCTCTTAGGCTGTATTAGAGTTGCAGTAATTACTCCCCGTGTTAAAAGACGTGCCACTGTAAACACAAGCATGCACTATCACTTCTTTTCTCTTTAGCGAGAAAGGCGTTGACGTCACTGGTATTAGAGCGGCCGACTTTTCCCGCTTTTACCCTCCCATTCGTGCGTCTACTTGGTTTCCTCTTGGAGTAAATCTAAATATCATTTTGTCGAGTTATTTTCAGACATTCCACGAAATAATCACTGCCTCCAATATATGTTTTTAGTCTGACCAAAACAGTTGTTTCAATAAGCGATGAAAGCCTGCCTAGCTTTAAGACCAGGTACCCATGATGATAGGATTTAGGTCTGCAAGAGGATCTCTTTACAAAAAGCCCCAGTTGATTTATTTAGCTTAGCATCTTAAGCAACTGTGGCAATTTACTGTCTGGGTATTATCTCCTCCTGTTGTGCGGTAGACCTCCATGCTGACGATGAGATCACTGTGAATACTACCACTTTTACGGGTTTTCAAAGCATACTTGTGTCTAGTTCTATCACTTGATGGTTATTATGGATTATAACTCTGAAACCTGCACTAGAGGCAGTCAGATTTTCAAATAATCTGGAATGTTTTGCTTTTTTATCTTCTGAATTCCTTAGATTTTTCCCTAAAAACTGTGGGCAAACTTCCTGCTATTTAATGTTAAGGGAAATAAAGACTTATCCTTAGTTTCCTATTCCACATTTTCTTTTTTTTATTTGGATCATATTTATTTATAATTAATCCTAAAAATGCTTAAGAAACAAGTTTTACCTGAGATTTTTCTGATTATTTACTAGCTGCTCATAAAAAAAAACAACAATCCAATATAAACATGATTTAATCTATTTAAAGCTTTGTTTTCTTTAAATACAACTGTGTCATTTAAGGTATTACTCATGTAAAAGATAAAGTTCATTGTATTGCTAATGTTATGTTTTTCATATCTCTGTTTATGCCAGTCAGGCTGAGTCTGTTGCTTATGATTGATTTCAGAGGCAGATAGATGGTTGGACCTGGGACGAAGCTGTGCCATCCAGGAGAAAGCTCGAGATTCCAGTTTGGAGAGCCTGTGGGATGTGGGGCCTGAACCTGGGGGCTTGCACTGGGCCAAAGAACCAGGCAGCACTACCGCTATCACCAGTCTGATAAGAGATCTCACCCTGGGAAACAGGATCAGCTCTCATGGGACCCCCCCTACCCCAACACATTTCATAAGCGGCACCCAGACTCCTGCGGCCCCTCCGAGCAAACGGCAGTGTCGCTCCCTGTCGTTCTCAGATGAGTTCAGTGGGTCCCGCTCATCCTGGAGGCCTCAAGGCTCCAGAGTGTGGACATCTGTGGAGAAGCGTAGGTACCATAGTGGAGGGAGCGTGAGAGGAGGATCAAGCCATTTCCCTCCAATGCAGCGCAGCTCCAGCTTCAGTTTGCCTTCATGCTCGAGCTCAGCCCCAGAGGGAACCCGGGACCCACCACTCTTCAACCAGCAGCTGCCTCTTCACCTTCAGTTCACTGCCTCCTCTGTGTCCCCTAACTCAGTTTTCTCGCACCACTCACACAGTCAGGCCTTTCTCCGGCCTTTATCCCTTTCCCACGAGCAAATCAGCCTGACAGAGCTTCAGCAAGAAGAGGCATCTGAGAGCAGCTCGCCAGACTCCACCCCAGAGCTGGGAAGGAGAGGTGCCGGAAAGGGGAGTCTGTCTCGAAGCAGGTCTCAGCCCTGTGTGCTGAATGACAAAAAGATTGCTATGAAGCGCCGAAGACCAGAGGATGCCCAGGAGCAGCGTCCCTCCCTGGATTTGGCAAAGATGACTCAGGTAAGCTGGAAATAATAACACTCACTGACAAGAACACACAAGCATGGATTCATTGGAAAGAATACAGGGATGAAGATCAAGGTTTAGTAACAATCTGTTAAACATGATTCAATTCATTTAGCAAGAGTTGGTGTCAGTCTCCATCTAATTTCTAAGTTATCCTAAAAAAGGCCCATTATTAAATTTAGCCAACATACGGGAAAAATGCTTTCCCCCGTGTTCTGACTAAAGATAATCATCATACAGCATTAGGTAATATTAAATCTGCATGTAATTAGCCTGGTTTAGGTCAACCTGAGTAAAGCTTTCCTAATGAAATTTCCCTTTAACCCATGTAGGGGCGTCACCTGTGTGCATCCACACTACTTAGGTCTATACAAGTGCATCTCAACCAAGTTTTAACGTCTTTGAAAGGTTCTGTCAATAATGGGCACCAGTAGATGACATGGCTTCCCAAATCACCACTGACTGCAGAAACTTGGTGAACAATTTAGATTTTAGGCTTCTCCACTCTACCTTCTCCACTCTACCTGCAATTTATTTCGCAATCCTCTTCAGGTTGCATTTTTTCATTTTCCTTCCACCTAATTTTTCATTCATATTCTTGGATGTAGCACTTTAAACAGCTATCTTTTTTAAAACAATTACCTCATGTAGCCTTTTCTACTTGTGGAGCGTCTCAAACAGCTTTGGACGGCTGTCAGGTCATAGTTCTTGCCAATGATCACTTAGCCCATGGATAGAGCATTTCTGTCATGTTAATATATCTTTATTAGTATTATGCAATATTAAATATTCCTGAAAAAAAACCATTTTAGGGTTTCTAAGCTGAGCAAATCTACATAATGCAGCATTCTACTTAGGATGTATTATTTCAGTTTGTTTTGCATTGCACCTGCACACGTGAAAGTTATGATCTTTTTTTTTTTATAACTCTGTAGGAGAATAAAAAAACATGAAATTGTTTTGGTAATTTAAGTGTATTTGGTCTGCTGTCAAGCCAGTGAAAGAAACAATAGGTGATTAATTGTTAGGTTATTTGGATGTGCTGATCTCCATCTTGCCTTCCCCATGTTCAGAGTTTGTTTGTTCTTTTCTAAAGTCAAAGGAAGCAGTGGAACAGTATAGATGAAGCCTGGACAGACCTAAAATAGAGCGGCATAAGTTGCTTCATCACATGCATTGTTTTTAAATCTTGCTCTTATGGGTGTAAGGAGCTTATCTTCTCTAGTTTAGTCTATTTTTTATTTATTTTTTTCATAAAATGCTGAAATGCTGGACCAAATCCGCATAATCAATGCAAGAATGCAGACCGTGTCTGTTTTAACTCTCTTTTCCCGAGTACAACTTCCACCTGGGCCTCTAAAATGTATTTCCATAAGACTTCTTGTCAGGGGAATTTGTCCTCTTCCTGTCCCCTGATTAGAAACCATCATCATTTTATCCATCTACCCTCCCTTCCTTTTTCACAAGTAAACGTGTTCCCAGCCAGTCGCCCTCTGGACTCAGCCAGTGCTGGATCAACCAGGCCTTGGTAATGGAGCCTAGCAGGCATGTTTCCTCCAGTCATGCCAACTGCTGAAAGGGTGTAAACAAGCATGCTGATGACACATAAATACACACATTATAAGAGTACACAAACACATGGAGTCTGTTTTATCTCCGCTTCCAATACATTTGCTGACTCCAGGTTATTGTTGAGGAACTGGGTGTTCTGACAGTTTTGCCAGAACATCTTTCTTTACTTGCACAACTGAAACCCGCATTGTTTAAGCAAGGGAGGTTTTCCACGGTTAATGGAATTTCAAGATTTCCTTGACCCTTATTCCCCTGCATGCATGTGAATACTGTTAATCATTTTTATAGCTTTTACGCAATCCCAGTTCTATTAATACCTGGTTTGTATGTATTAATAATTGGTGTTTTTCTGCCTCTAAATTCATTTTTTTTGTCCTGTACACTAAACAATCGGATACATTTTTTTTTCTAGAAACTTAACAACTTATACAAGTGCAATGTGGAAAGTTTGATTCTTTTTTTTGACCTCTTAACAATTAGCCTATATGCGCAATCAGGAGGAGAGGGCATATCTGTCAAGCACAAGTCGTATTATAAATTAGTGTTGGTCAATTCTGGTTAGTTTTATGTGTAAGAAACCCTTTTTTTCAAGCGATATACCGTTATAAAGATTTTAAATGCTCGATGAGGTCATGCACCCCCACTGCACAAAGCGCTGAAGAAGCATTTCTGACTGGATGGGGGCATAATGCGGTACAAATTCTCTTATGGCAAAGTCAAGCAGGTGCACGCTAGCCCCACCCTTTGGATAGGCTAACATTTATTCTACCAGGTTCCACCAAAACAAACTAAGGACCTTTATATATGGCTGCTAGTGTGTGCATGCTTAAAATGGTGATAGTCGGTGATTGATGAGATTACAATGATGAGATTACATTGCTTCTTCATGCAATCTTTATGAAGGCCTAACGAGTCGACATATTAGGATTGGATGTAGTCCAAGTAAGACTGAAAAGTAATTTTTGGGAGATTAGTAACTACATAATTAGGGCTGCAACTAACAAATATTTTGCAAATCAATTAATCTGTCAATAATTTTTTTCAATTAATAATCGGATGATTTGAATTTTGCAGAACGTCAACATAGCCTCCAGTTTTGCACACATATGTAACGGAAACGCAGCTGCTGAGTGATTAGGAATGGAAGACATTTTTACACATTTTCTGAGCTTTAGCAGCTTGATCAGTAAAAAAATATATCAGGCGTGTGAAATAAAAGTTAAAGTCGATCTAAAACATTATGGTTTGGCAGAACTAACACGTGACGCTTGAAATGTAATATGCAAGTAAATATTTCTTGAAGTGCTTTTTAATTTGTAAGCTAAACACGTCAATATTTTGTTTTATTTTTTTCCCTGCAATTTGATATCTTAAGCAGCTTTGACAAAAATGGTATAACATAATTCCTTCAGTTTTTGAAATCATATTTGAAACCTCAGACTACCATGTTGTTGGTAACTGAGTCGTGTTTATCTTTGACATGATGTCTTACCTAAAGAATCCTCGTCTGTTTTGAAATAAAACCTCAGAGCAGAATTGGCATTGACTCATTCTGTTGCTCAGATCTTCATTAGCGCTTCTTTAAAAGTGGATTTGCTTCACACTAAACTATCCGACACAAATAGAGTCCTAAAAAGGCACTGCCTCGGACTGTTGATAAGGATTTATTAGTTTTGAAGGTGTGCAGATGAGTAACTTGGCACCTTAGAGGGAAACCGTTGATAATGTTTGGCACAGAAAACTTGGGAGAGTTAAAATAAAAAGGTGTGTTTGTGGTTCAGTGGGAAGGAGGATTGTGGCAGGTCAAGTCTCATGAGTGTTTTGTCAGTGGAACATTGGCCTCTAGATTCACTGGACTACGTCAATGAAGCAGGGTGTGAATTCTGGGGATGCATGTCATGCTAATTGGCTATAACTTGAACGCTGGGGGGATTTGTATGCTCTCACCAACAGAATTCCTTGAATATCCTTTTTGCCAGCAGTGTGTGTCAGGTCACAGCTCAGTTCACTGCTCTTGTTTTTATCCCTGGCTGCTCTTTCACCTTGGAGCAACACTTTTCTTTTCCACAGAACGATGCACGTTACAGACTGTCAGCAGCTGTATTTTATATCTTGAGTGCAGATCACTTGCTGAATGATTATTGATATCTGTGTACACTTTGCTTTTCAGAAAAGTGATTTTTCAGGGTCAGTCTGGCCACTTGATAACTTGAGTCGGGTCATTGCAGTCTCTGATAACAATGACAGGCAATCGTTGTGTCAGGTGGTAAAACAAGATTTGTTGAGCAAATTCACTGTCTTTTCATGTGAGTGCATTTTTCTATGAGCTCAGGGTCACAAACCATCTGATTAAGAGATGTTATTTCTGCATAGAAGGCGGCAGACCAACTCTTCTTTCCTATTTATATCTTCCTGCTGGCCCAACATAGCCCAAGCTCTCTCTTTCTCACCCCCCCTCTCCTTTCGTCTCCTTTCATTTCTGGGATTGCAGACATGGTGATCATTGTTGAGTTACAAGTCCTGGAGGCTTGTGGAAGCACCTCTTTGGGTGTCTCAAGGTGCATCTTTACTGTAAAAACAATTGCATGCTTCAGCTTGTCGTATATGTGCATAGTGCACATGCTTGCAGCTACACTATGTATGAATCTGCTTTACTTGTGTAAAGTCATGCATGTTATGTAGGCCTAATTGTTTTCAACACCCAACCAACTGGGCATTGGGTATACAACGGTTTTCAAAGCTGCAGTTTCTGTAATGAACAGCTTTTTCTGGCTGCATGAAGCTAAGGATAATAAATTACTGGCCCTCCTCCACTTGTTGCTGCACCCTGGTAGTCAACAGGCTGAAAGATGATGCGTTGTTACATGTTCAACACAATTCATAAACATTTTAATTTAAGATACTTGACGAATAAAGGAAAATAAAGGGAAAAAATAACTTTAAAGATTGGTTCCCTTTTTTTTTTTTCTTCACTTGCAAGAAGGACTACTATAGTAATTTTTTGGCAATATTTTTCAAAACAAGGACTGTCATAATATGAAACCATAAGGAACGCTTCCCATGACTCCATTTGATATAATGCTGGTTTGAAAGTTGCTAGCAAACTACACGCGTTTCTGCCTAGCAGCAGACTGCAGGTTAAAGTAGTAGGTCATTATAATTGTCATGTCAGGGTTGGTAATCCTAACCCAAGAGTAGTCAATACCTTATATATATTCAGAAAAAAAATATATTTTTTTCTGAATATCTATTTTAGATACCGGTATAAGGAATTTTTGTTGACGAATTAATGTGTGGATGCAGTGATACCATGTACGCATATTGTGTAGACTCATAGTGGTCATACTGCGAGGATCGTATACTGGTTAAAATGTTTGCCTCTATCTCACCCAAAGAAATGTTTGATTGTCCAGAATATTACTCACAAAAAAAACCAAGTCCTCTACAGACTAAAACCCAGATAATTTATTTTTTTATTTCCTACCGATTTTAGTTTAACAATGCTTAGATTATATCTGTGCTCAAAATGCATGACTCTTCAGTTAACAGTGTGGGACTTTTATCTTTTCTCTTAACATGCTTTTGTTTGCCTGAATTATCAGGAGAAAATTTGCCTAACGTCTTAGCGGGTGCCTGTGCAGCTGGCTTCCCATCCTGTGTTGTAGATGGCATGTTTACATTTATAGATTGTGCTCCTTTAACGTGTGCTTTGAAAAAATGTATAATGATTACTGGTTATTTTCACAATTTTAGAAAGAATTCCTTCCTTTTTTCAATAAGGATTTATTCTACCCTAAAATCTTCAGTGACAATATGTACAAAAATTAACTACGTATTACGTGTTGTCCCTTTCAGTGTTCAGTTATTTGTTTTTTAGGATTTAGCTTGATGTTGACATAAAAATGTAGATCGGACCAAACCCAATAACCTCTCCTTGTAATTTTTAGCAGAGAAAGAGGCTTTCAGCATAGCAGGTGTCTGAACTGTCTGTTCCTGCTTTCTCTGCAAACATGGTTGTAAGACATCTTAACTCAGACTGTCATTAGATATGATTTAGTTGTTCCTATGTCTTGTGACTATAACCCTGTTGACAACCCTGTCACCTCTATACCAGTATAGCTTGTAGCAATGTTATCTTTTTACTGTTCTGAATGCCTGACTTGCAAAACAGCCTTCTAGCTGAGAGTATTGTGCAACTTTATTGTGAACTTTTTACAAAAACGTAATTTGCATTCAGTTTAAACAGATTTAATTTAGTCATTTTCATGGTGTATCAATAAGATATCCAGTGCTACATTCATTACATGCACAACACAAATCTGTTCTTATGATATATCCTAAATTTATGTGCCTATAGCAGTTTTTTTTTCTTATTTTAAGGGGTGTTTTAATACGGTTGAAATTTCTCATCTACATACTTTAATTATCAGATAGGAAAATCTGAATTGTCTGGAAAAAACAAAATAGAAAATTGTCTTTTTCCATTTTCAATGCATTGCAAAGATTGTGTTTCTCTTTAAAGGCAGCATTTGTTCTGTTTTTTTAGTTTGGACTACTTAAATTATCAAAAAGAAAAGTTTGCAGTATGAAAAAGTTATGAAGCTGCAGCTTTATATCTCATCTTGTTTATGATGTACCTGCAAACCCACACCTCCTCCTTTTACACTCTGCCTGCAGCAGGCTGGTGCACAATAGAGACATAACCTGAGCGCAGTAAGAAGAAAGCATAAAACATACCTTTTGATGCTTAAGGTATGTGCCTTCAGCTTATACTGGTGAATTCATAGCAGGGAAAGAGGAAGCATAAATATTATCAGCAGTCTCTTCCTTGATGGCAAATCAGTTCTCAATTAAATATTCATAGTTGATCTTATAATATCTTTCATGCACTTAAGGACTTTTCATAGTTGATTAAATTATGAGTTTACCTGAAAAATCCTTCAGAAGAATGTCTAGTCTTTAGTTTGTGACCATAAGTCTTTAATGTGCATGGTTCACTGACTGTTGATGCCGGAAACCCTGCAGTGCTAAATAAAAATAAAATTGCCTTTATCGCGTGTTAACACAAATGTTGATGAGAGCTATTACTGCCACTCTTATCTAGCAGCAGATAAGGTTTAGATTAGGGCTGAACGAAAAATCTAAATTGCGATTATTTTTAACCAAGATTGAGATTGTGGTTTTATTTTGATTTTCCTTTGCACTAACCATAAGCTTGTAGATGAAATATTTTAGGGTTTCAGTTTTGTTCACGACCTTAAACCAGGGGTGTCAAACCGGTTCCAGAAAGAGCCGTGTGGCTGCAGGTTTTCTTTCCAACCAAGCAATAGCACACCTGACTCCAGTCATCTCATTGAGTGAGTCCAATCTGAACATGATGACTTGATGAGATGACTGGAGTCTGGTGTGCTATTGCTTGGTTGGAAAGAAAACCTGCAGCCACACGGCTCTTTCTGGAACCAGTTTGACTTTTCAGAATCCGTTGTTGCAGGACAGTATTGTAACCTTGTTGTGAAAAACTGCTTCCTTTTACTAGCATGCATGGATTTGCATGCTAGCTGCAACTCTTACTACCGTTTTGCATGGTGGCAAACCCACTTAAAAGTTATTGTTGAGGATTTTCGCAATATTTTTACAAGACCTCCAAAAAAATGCACCTGCACAGCCGTGTACCTTCTTCCGAGAGGGAACGCCTATTAAACGTGCGCGGGAGCATGCAGCAGCCCATTTCTCCTCCTGCACGCTCTGTTTAAAAGTTGCTGTTCTCATAGCTTATACAAGCTTACTGTGCTTGAACTTCTGCCCTAACCCCTATATCCCTCAATTACTATATAGAGCTGGGATTATATAGTGGGCTTTATAGCCAACTCAGTTAACTGAACGTTCGGACAGATGATCACTGCTCTTTGCTCCGTCGGTCACCTAACTCCTCCTCCACTGTGCTGTGCCTGCACCATTTTTTTTTATCAGTTGCCGCTGTGGGGTAGCGACAGCCTATGGCGACCGCGGGCCACTGTGACAGCAAATCCCATAATGCTTTGCGAGGAGAGCTCTCCGCTCAAAGCATTCTGGGATATATCTGCCTCTTCTGAAACCTTTCCTTTCTTCTCATACACTTCGTAGACACTTTTTCTCTTTTGGCCTCGGCCATTTTCAAAGAACCGCGGTGAGAAAGGTGAGCTTCAATGACTGTCTGAAACCGCAGCTCACCACACATATGCTGCTGAAAGTGTGCATACGCAGAAAAAGATAACAGAACGAGCACGGCCTTACGTAAACATATCATCAGAATGATTGACAATTAGGAGGACCACTGATTTAGATGATCCACTCAGAAAGATTGGCCTCTAGACTTTTGAGGAAAATATAGTGTCTTTCTCTGGTTAAATGTAATGTGACCAAATTTAGTGCCTCTGTGATTTGGAAATTTCCTATGGGGAAGACGTCATTTAAAAACTGCATTTAGGAGCTTGTTATATAGAAGAAATGTAACTGCTCCTCCATTTCACCACCACACCCACTCAAAGCACAGTCTGCCTCTAGATTTTATAGAAAGCATATTGTGCAGAAGCTGCTGCCCCTCCTTTCTCCTTTTCTTTGCCCTCTTCTCTTCCTCTGCTGCGATAATTAGTAGTGGGGTAATACTGGGGGGCTGAAGCCTGAGCTTCAGAGCTTAGAAATCCCCTTTTCCACTCCACTGGTGTAGCTACAGCAAAAATGCCTCCCACTTAAACATGATCATCTCAAGTGTTTGCAGATGAATGAAGCATGTTAATCCTGCAAACTTTAAACCCAGACAGCAAACTCCAGCCTTACTTTCTTCTTTTAGATTCAGCTACATCACCAAAACCCAAGAGCTCCAGCTTATAACGGCAAAATCCATGACACGTGTTAAGAGAACGTTACAGGTGTCTATTGTGTGAGATTAGGTTTTGCGGAGCAACCCTCATTTCTATTCACCTCCATGCCTTGAACATCTGCTGTCTGAAGGCGCTCCAGAGATCATTAACCCCTACATGCACCGTGCTACTGCCTTTGTTTGCTTTAGAGAGGAAACACACAACTTTGAATCTCTTTTACATCACGTTTGATGTACTCCCATGACAAACATTGAGCAGAAACTCCTAGAAATGTAGAGTAATATGAATAAAAATGTCTTTAGTGTACTTGCTTTTGCTCTAGCGATGAGTAATCCCAGACCACATTTTGACAAAACATACTTTCTATGGTTTGTAGCTCATCCCAGTTTCTTTTTTTTTTTTTTTTATATTAACCCAGATGGGGTAGATTTGTGTCTATGTTCTCAAATGGCTTCTGTGTGCCCTTGCATTTACATTTACACATGCTATTGATAAAAGGAAAAGCTCCCATTTAGCTGCCCTAACAAAAAGCAAATCCTCCCCATCTTTAAGGGAAAACAAAAACCTCTGTTTAAATATAAACTGTGACAGCATTTTTATTGTTTCCGTCAAGTCACAATTTTTCTCCCAATCTTTTTTTTTTCCATCCAGAAACTACAAACCTTTCAAAGCTTAAGCTGGCCTGGATTCTCATCCTCCGACAGCTTCAAATCCAACCTGAGCGCGCCTTCGTTTGATTTCGCCGGCCAATCGGAGACTGACTTCGCTGCTGTCTCAGAGCTGTCGCTGAAGTCGCGGGCGGATATGATCGCAGACGACGGGGAAGAGGACTCATCCTACGGGGAACTGGACAGTGATTCTGCATGCAGTGTGGACTCGCGGTCCGGTTCCCCTGAATGCTGCATTGAGGACAGTAAATGCACCCTCTGGAAGGGTGATCGCGGGAAGCAGAGGGACATTTTCCAGCTTGGCGGGGAGCTAGATCTTGAGCAAATTGAAAGAAACTGAACATTTCTTGTTGAATGTCACATTTCATGTTTTAAGAGGTGACTAAAGAGATGATATGAAAGGGATGAAATGTTGAAAGGATTAAGAAAGTAATGGAAAATGAAAGATTAAGTATGTTGCTGAAGATTAGCTTCTGAATTTCACATATGCCTTGAACATTCTGCTTTAACAAAAGAAAAGCAGCATCCTTTGATATTTTGTATGAGTTCGTAATTTGACCTGCCTCAGGAGCGGAAAATTGGGGGGTTTCTGTCTTAAAAAGCATCTCCTAACTCTCAATCTTTTCCAACCTGAGGCTCTTTCCAAAGTCAGCTCACCTTAGGTTTTTTTAGTACTGTAGTAGTAGCTGGGCTCAACTGTATTCAGCTCAGATTTGCTATTTTTCAGAGTAATCTGAGGGTTTGGAGTAAAAGGAGAAAGAAGTATTCTATCAGATGTTTTCGTCTTGTCTTTCTCCCTGATTTGTTGAGCACACACATAAATATTTTATGTTTGAATGTAGGCTCCATAAGCTTTATGAAGAGTTGGAAATCAAAAAAAAAAAAATCAAAAAGTGCCTTCTTTTGAATGCTTGTTGTAGTTCTCTTCAAGGAGAAATGCCTTACCTTAAAGCCACTGTCTCTGACGTTTATGTGCAAAGTATATTTGAATTAAACACTGAATCTCCTTTTGGGTTCAAACAGCAGCGTGTATTTTTCTACATTTTGGGGGTTTTTATGTGTTGTTTGAGAAGGAGGGAGATTTCATGGCCTTTCTTCGAACAGAATGGAAATAAATTCACAACCTGCACTCATACGTCTGATGTATTTATTTGTTTCATTTCTGCACAGGACAGATTTCTAGATCAAAAGTTGAATTGGGGAGAGTTTCCAGGTGCTCTGTAGAAGCTGCACCCACTCCCCCACAGTCACTTCCTGCATCACGTTTCTAACCTTGGTGTTAGAAGCTCCCCTCTTTAAACCTCTCTGCAGCCTTTTTTCAGATTATGGTTAGCTTGTAATGTTTCATGTAATTTGCTTTGTAAAAACAAAGGCTCTTGCATTATAATTTTTTTTTTTTTTTTTTTACACATGGAAACCACAAGCTTTACTGTGTTATACGGGGATCTCATTAAGACTGATTTAAATAAATGAATAAAACTATTGTTAAAGTATAGCAGGGACTTCCCTACTTGTCACGGACACCCCTAAATAGAAAAATGTTTCCTTTAAAAGTGGTCTAATTACCGTAGTAAACAGTTTTCACTGTCTCATCAAACAGCTTCATGAAGACCTTGGCAGAGATAAGGTTGTGAATAAATTTAAGCAGTTCTGGTTTAAAAAAACAAACAACCAAACCACAACAATATCCATCCAAAAGTAGAAAATACATGTTCTGAATCTATCATTAACCAACACTAACACTCCGGACATAGAAAAAGATCACCAGAGAAGCAGCTAAGAGGCTTTTAGTCACTCTATGCTGCAGAGATCCACAGCCCGAGTGGGGAACTTGTTGACTGGACAATCATTACTTATACAATCAATTAATCTGATCTTTACAAAAAAGTAGCCAAAAGAATCCAGTTCTAATTTTGCTTGTTTAATTTGCAACACAAAGAGAGTGTGTAAAAAAGGGTTCTCTGATTAGATGGAAAATACATGTATTTCAATGTAAATGGAAAAAGGGTGTGGCAGGAATCACCAAGGTAATATATAGAAGTGACAGCAGGGTGCTATGGGTTTGGTTTTCTTCAGCATAGACAAGAACAGTGATCACAGCTGATGGTGTAAAAAATGGAGTTAAAAAGCCTCAAATACTTTGAAAAAGGGGTAGTAAAGTAAATCCCAAGGATAGGCTATTCAAACTAAGTGAAAATATCTGTCCATGCAGCAAGATAATTTTACTTTTAAGATTATTAAATCTAGAAATAAGCAAAGGCATATACGTTTTGTTTTTTTTTTTCATCCTAGTAGGAACCAAATAATTATGAGTGAAAAACAAAACCAAAGCTACAATAGAGTGGTTCAGATCAAATATAGTCATGTGTTGGAATGGCCCTAAGTAATTAGATTTTATATAAATGCATAAGAACTAAGGGGGGCGGATACTTTAACAAGTCATTTTGGGTTGGTGACATGAAGCAGACACTATATGCATGTGAAAAGCAAAATGGAAGGAGAAAAAACTTTATCTAAGAGGCTTTAGAATTGAGTCCATTTTAATACTTTTGACTCTCCTGGCAAAAGGACTGTTTTTTCAAGGACTGATCCTGGTTTGGCTCAAATTTCAACCTTTCACAACTCTTCACTACATTTGTGAGTGTTGGCATTCACTTATCCAATACTGAATCACTGTCCACCCACAGATCATCACTATGCTTGGGGTGAGAATAGTAAGATGGGATGTTTTTCAATATCAGAGAATGGTGTGTATTCATATGGAGTTAAAAGTGACTGATTCTGAAACTATTAGTGATCATAGAGTGGTTGGACTGGTGATAGTTCATGAGTTATAACAATTATTCAGAGCTACTGTTTTATTCACATGATCAGGGATGATTACATTCAGTACTTTCCTATAAGGTTGCCCATGACCCTGAAATAAAAGGCAGGAAGTCCAGGCTTGGAATATCCCTGGCCCGCAACCTAGCAGTGACCAGAGGAGATGACATAAGGAGAAAATACCTCCAAACTTCTAAAGTAAGGCAGACAGTGAGACACGTCAGCAAGGCGAGGTTTTTCCTCTCTGGGATTTCCTATCATGTCTGATGTCAGGCCAGACAAACTTACAGCACCTGCTGCCTCTGCAGCACGTACTCATATGTCTGCATCCAGGCTGTAGGGGGGTTTCTATCATCATCATTATTGGACACCAGGGATAGAGAGTCAAACAGAGAGAGGACTGATTATTGTTCCAACACATGGGATAAAAAAGCACAGCCTTGATGAAAAGTGTTTATGCTGAAAACAGGATGTTGCAACCAGTTTCAGCTTTTCCTCCACACTGCCCTTGGAGAAAAGTGAACTCCGGCATCTGAGCACTCAGCTTTTGGCTTACACAATACACCCAAACACATTCAGAAGAACCTGAAAACAGATTCAGACACATATACAACTTATGACCTGGACCAAAGAAAATCTCTGTCAGACATCAGTTCATTGCTGGAAATACAGCATGATGTTTCTATAAAAAAAATAAAAATGACGCATTGCTCCTCTAGGTTTGTATTTCATGCACGCATACACACACACACACACTTCCTCTCTCAGGGGAAGCAGCAGGAAAAACCGGGGGAGAGAGTTAATATCTGCATTAAAAACACTATAAATAGGGAGCATTGTAGTTGTAGTTGGCAGAGGTGGATGGAGAGAGGGAGACAGGAAAGGCCATGTTAGAGCAATTTACTGCTCGACCTCGATTACATGTGGGAAAACACTGGCTGAGCAAAGGGCTGAGTCTGAGTCTTTGCAAACTTGCTTTAACTTTACTTTGAGCACTCAGTGATTGCTAGATTGATGACGCTGTAATTATTTATGTACCCTTATGCTTATTGAAATTGGTTATCTATACAATGAATTTGTAGATCTGTGGATTTTAGGCCCACAATGCTTGGCTTTATGTTACATTGCATCTAGAAGGTCCAAAAACTTAATTGATATACGGTACTTAAAGAAAGTGTTTTCATTTGTTAGAAATAATGCCAACACATAATAGCAGACTTGGGAGGTAAGGAATATAGGCCTTTCAAGGAAGGGCAGATAGAAAAATGATTTTACATATAAAGATCTGCAAAGTACACAGAATGTATATTTATTTTGCCCACATGGGTCAGTACTCTGCAGAATCACATACTGGTGATATTACAACAAAAATAAAACTATAGCGGTATGTCTCTATCAACTTTAGACATCTAGAGACTCAAATTTCTGTCCATTCTTGTTTGCAAATCAGATTAAGCTCAGATTGGATCTGAACATTTCTACTGCAGCTCTGGGTTTCAGCCTGCTGGGACATCTTTCCTAATCTTAAATGTTTCGCAGCCTCGAACAGGTTTCCTTCTAAGGTTGCTCTCTGTTTTACTCCATTCATGTTCACATCAGCTCTGATGATCTTTTTCTTACATCTGCTGAAGAATAATATCCATTTGGCATGATTTGCTACCCCAGTGTGTTAGTATTAGAATGGTGTATTCAGGGTGTTATATTGTGTTTTTTTGGTTCTGTAAAGATTGAATGACTAACACTCATCCCAAAACTGATTTCCTCACTTGAGGTGCAGCTCCTCCAGAATGACCATGGTTACTTTCTGATCAACGTTCTCCTTGGTCAGCTTGATGAATTTGGCTGTTTGCAGTTTGATCATTTTCTTCCCGAGGTTTGATGATTTTATTAAACAGCTCAAATTTACAAAACATGGAATCTTGTTTTAGATTTTAATTAAGCCTTAAACCTCATCATAGCCTTCTCCCTGACGTGTCTGTCATAATCTCCTGATTGTGATCTTTGGTTCTGTTCCAAGTTTCACTTTGGCTTTTCAGTTACACATTGATTTATGTCATTCTGTGTTTTCAAAGTCTGATTCAAAGTTTGATTTCCGTCAGGTGTCACATAAGATGTTTTCTGTTGCATTTCTTGGTTATCCTCTGTTGCCCCGTTGCATCAGTGTCCTTTCTCCTACTGCAAAAAAATGAAATCTCAATATGTCATTTTTTCTTAGAATAAATGCATTTTTCTTGAATTGAGGAGTTAAGTGAGATACTTTGCCAATGGAACAAGACAATTTACATTTAAAATAAGATAAAGTAATTGCATTGTCTTCTTTCAAGCAAATAATATCTTATTTTCTTATTTGAAGATTAAAAATACTCATTCCATTGGCAAATCATCTGATTTACCTATTAAAATGAAGGCTAAATACACTTATTGTAAGTTTTTGCAGTGTAGCTCCCTTCTAGATCCTTCTCTCCACACCTGCTCCCAATCAGTTGATTACTCCATCCATTGTCTTGTTTTGCATTTATACTCCCCCTCTGCAGTCACTGTTTGCTGGATTCTCTTCATTCCCTTCTTAACCTATGCGTTCCTCAATGTTCAGGTTCCAAGGATCCTTGAT